GCTTCTGCAAAATTAAATATGTACTTACTGTATGACTCAACAGTCCCTCTCCTAGGTATTTACTCTAGAGAACTGAAAATGTATGTTCACACGAAAACTTGTACATGAATATTTATAGCAGCTCTGTTTGTAATCGCCAAAATTGGAAACAACCCAGTGTCTGTCAGTGGGACAGATCCATAACATGAGGTACTACTCAGCAGAAAAAAAGGAACAAGCTGTTGATATAGGCAGCGGCATGGGTGGCTCTCAAAGGCATTGTGCTAAGTGAAAGAAGCAGCCTTAAAAGATTTCATACTGTGTGATTTAATTTATATGACATTTTGTAAAAGAGAAAACTATACCAAGCACAGATCAGTAGTTGCCATGTGTACTATGGTATACATAGAACTGTACATAAGAAAAGGAAAATGTACTGTAAATTAATTTTAAAAAATATTAATACAGTGAAAATGGGACTATAAAGCCATCATGTAAATGTGACACATTTTTATGAAAATTAACCTTATTTTCAAAAACAAAGAAAATTAGTAAAAACAGTGGCATTGTTTTACATTGTTGTAAATTTCTTTACTGTCGAGCTTAATAGAGACAGCTGTATTCTCGTATCTCCTTCTGTATTCACGCTTTTGCCATACCATCTGTCTTGTAGTCGCTGGAAAACCCCACTATACACTTGAAAGAGAATAAGAGTGAAAAAAGCAAATAATTTCTTAGTATTATTATGATCATTGTTTTGACCCTGTGGACCACCTGAAATAGTCTTGGGGATTCCCCAGGGTTCCTGAGCCACACTTTGAGAACCACTGATATATAATGTACTGTCCCAAATTTCAGTCATCTTCATAGCATCTTGATCTTTTTTTTTTTTTTTTTTTTGCCATACCCACATCTACTGGGTTTATTTAATGGCTTTGTTCAAACCGACCCACTGTTTTTTAACTAAAATTTATTTAAAGAGGAAACTTCTATAGCTCCTATAAATGGGAAACCAGTACCACTTCCCCGTAAGTGGAAAGTTAGCACAAAAGCAAATAAGCAATGAGTAACTTACATTAAGTATTAAAAGGTTTATCCATGAACCATCTATACTCACCTCTGTGTGGCACTCTTTGGAAAACACTGATTCAGAGAAGCAGTGACAGGGATGACAGCTAAATCCGATGTATCACTTCATTTATGTTAACACATTTAATCCTCACCATTACTGTCAGAGATAGACAGTATCATTAACATTTTTTAAAAACACGTTTAAAAAAATGGAAGCACAGGGAAGTTAAAGAAGTTGCCCAGTATTCCACAGGGAGTAAATGGCAGGGCTGGGATTTGAACCCAGGCAGTCTGGCTCCAGAGTCTAGGATGAATGCTGTGTTGGCCAGTAGGAAACCTGGATTCCTGTCCAAGTTCTGCTTGAAGTTGGCGGTCGGACATGTCACTGAACCTTACTGTCCTCATCATTAAAGTGAGGGAGGTGGGATAAATTAGGGTGTGGATGTTTAAATGGTGGGTGCCTGCCCAAGGGGCCAGGCAGGTAAAGGAATGGTGGACTGAGTGTCAGGAAATAGGAGCGGTGGGGTCAGTGGCAGACTAGAGAACTTGCATCTCATCTAAAGAAAGCAACCTCTACTAAGTTTCAACTTTTTTGTTTTGAGGGTTTTTTTTGTTCTCTTTATTTTATAACCTTTATTTTATTTTATAAGAGAAGATAGAAGTCAGGAGACTTTGTGTAAAGTTTCCCAATTGGTTTTTAAAAAATTAATTAATTAATTAATTAATTAATTTTTGGCTGCATTGGGTCTTCGTTGCTGCGCACGGGCTTTCTCTAGTTGCAGCGAGCAGGGGCTGCTCTTTGTCGCAGTGCACAGGCTTCTTATTGCGGTGGCTTCTCTTGTTGCGGAGCACGGGCTCTAGGCATGTGGGCTTCAGTAGTTGTGGCATGTGGGCTCAGTAGTTGTGGCTCGTGGGCTCAGTAGTTGTGGCTCGCGAGCTCTAGAGCGCAGGCTCAGTAGTTGTGGCGCACGGGTTTAGTTGCTTCGCGGCATGTGGGATCTTCCTGGACCAGGGGTCGAACCTGTGTCCCCTGCACTGGCAGGCGGATTCTTAACCACTGCGCCACCAGGGGAGTCCCAAGTTTCCCTTGGGACTTACAACACTTGGAGAGGCCACAGCCATACACATAGGCTGGCTGTTACGTGACTTCTTGACCGGATGATCTCCTCTTAGAGGAGTCTGTGATTGAGTACGCTGTTATTATGCAGTGGGAGAAACAAAATCCAGATGACAGAAATAGGCAGTTTGAAACAATGATGAAAGGGGATATGGACTTAGAAAGTATTCCAACGCAGCCTACATAAATATTGATTAGGCTCTGGGTTAATTGAAAAGCCAAAGTGCATTAATAGAATAACAAGGTGTATTTCTTTGTGTTCCTTTTGGGTTGCATTAGAGTAAATCAGCGGTATTTATCCAGTGCTAATTCTCGGTTTGCAGAGAGCTAATGTAATCATGAGATGAGCTTATTGAAATTCTTTTCTTAGACATAGAGACTTGCCCAAGAATGGTGAGTATTAGGAACTTTAGTCAGCAACTGCCTCAGAATGGTAAATACGAACATGTGATTTATGCCACCGTGTGTACAAAGTAATGTTTCCTGAGACATTTTCTATATATATGTTGGCTATTTTGTTTTGGGGGTTGGTTTTTTGCTTCCCCCTCCTCCGCTTATCAGATTTCCTTCTAAATCCTGGCGTTGGACAATGTTGCAGGGCCAGTTTCTCTGTGAATCCACAGTGAAACATACTGGTGGTTTCACAGTTAAGCCAAACTTGGGTTTACGGCTTATACATGTTTATTTGAATTCCTGCATTTGTTTTTATGCATTGTGTATATATTCAGAAGGTCTGTTTCAGAGAGAGAGAGAAAGGAGGGAGGACTAAACCTGTAGACTGGATCTTGAAAGATGGGTTTATTCATCAATGACATCATAAGGATTGTATTTTCTCTCGGTTAATAAACTATTTGTTTGGCGGGTGTTGGAAGCCAGCCAGAGCTAGTCATGCCATTTCTTGGAAAAGTTCTGAAGCAACTGGTAATTGAAATGATAATCATTTGATCATAGTTAGAGCTATTTGAAAATAACACTCATCTCCAAACTTGTCTCTTCTAGGGAACCATATTTGGTAAAACTGTTGCCAGATTCCATCTTTGCTAATATTGAGGCTTATATACCATGATACTTAATTATTTTCCAGTATATTCTAAACTTGATTTCTGGTATGCCCTGTCCAGAAGCTGTTCCCTGTCCAGAAGCTGTTCCCATGTGCTTTGAAACAATACCCAGCCTGAATTTTTATTCTGACATTTAATAATCACCATGTAATAGCTATAAAATGCGTGACAACTATAGATCTTTTATTTCGAGAGGATGGTGTAGTGAATCTGAGTGAAATCATCCATCGAAATGGTACTTTGTAATATGCCCCATTGTTTATATAAAGTATTGAAATTTTTTTTTTCTTGAGCAGAGAATAAAAACAGTTTCTACTTTGTCTCCCATTTAGTGGAAGTTCATATTTAATCATGATAAGGGAAAGGATTCCATTACAAAAGTTTTACTTTTCATTTTTGATAGAGTATTTGTTATTTTGCTGCTGCCTAACAAACTCTTCTCAGAGGCAGCTTGGAACTGGATGAGGAAAAGTGAAATTTTAGATCCTACCTTAAAACATTTTTAAAAAACTGAATCCGGGGCTTCTTATTGTGTGAAGCTTATCTTAATAAACCCTTTTTTGTTTGCTTTGGAGTAGTGTGTGTGTGTGTGTGTGTGTGTGTGTGTGTGTGTGTGTGTGTGTGTAGGTGGGAGAGAAGGAGGAAAGAGTCATGTTTTACAGCAAAATTAGCCAAAATCACTTGTGAATTCCCTTTGTTTAATAGCTCGGAGACATATTCCTGTTGTTGTTTGTCAAAAATATTTCTAAGATTTTGTAAGCTTAGGGGTTTTCACAGCTCAGCTTTCTTCAGAAATGTGAAGTAAAAGAAATAAGTCAGTTCAAGTTGAAATGTCAAATGCTTCAAATAATTTAACTTAAAACCCAGTGAGATGATCTTCTTAAGCCTTTTCCAAAGAATCTTTGGGAAAGAGAGGCCCTCCTTCGCTCCGTGTACGGATATCTATTAAATATCTTGCTGGATTAATTCTGAGTCAGAAAAGTTGGTCATTTCCTGGAAGCAATTAAAGGTGCTTGAAATTGAAATTTATGATCCATAGGAGAAACTTAAGTTTCAACTACTTTTCTTAGATTCAAAGGCTTTCTCCTCACTTGCCCTCTTGCCCCATACGTATTAAAAGAAAAAATCAGTTCATTTCTCAACTTACAAAGTTTTTCAGAAACATGAGCATGTGTAAGTTTCTTTCAGCGGGAAGCACATAACATTTATGAAGTATTTCTTTGGGGATTACATCACAGTTTTATTTAATTTTAGGACAAAAGTTAAATTCAATATTTGTGTATAAGCCAAGGGAAAATGTACCATGAACATAGGAATTTGGGGGTCAGTCAGAGTTCCAAGAATCCCAGATTTACTTAGACCATTTATATAGAGACAGACTAACCATTAGTCATCTAGTTCTCACTTTTTTACTTTTGTAAAATTAATGGCACCTAAAAATTAGCTTTCGCCCACGTGGTCAAGTAGGGAGAGTGAGCTTTGGCAAATAGCACCAAAAATGGCTATTAGAATTACTGTCCAATTTTTGGACATTTTCTAAGCACATAACAAATAAATCCTATAAATTATTCCTCAAGTAGACCACAGGCAGCGAAAACCCATTGAAATGAAGTGAGTTTCTGAAGGTTCTCTGTCACCGGAAAAAGCACGTTGTCTGCTTACATTAGGGTCAGCCGCTCAAATGGTGTTTCAGATGGGCTTTATTGAAAATGTATCATTTGCTTCAGAGCCACCAATAATGTTTTTTGTTCTCCCGCCACTACCTCTTACAGGATGAAGTCATTGCTGTTTCCGAAAAGGTGATTGTGAAGCTTGAAGACCTGGTCAAGTGGGTACATTCTGATTTCTCCAAGTGGAGATGTGGCCTTCGAGCTGGGTCAGTGAAAATGGAGTCCCTGGGAAGGAATGGACAGAAGGAAGCTCTGCTGAAGTACCGGCAGTCAACCTTGAACAGTGGACTCAACTTCAAAGACGTTCTCAAGGAAAAGGCTGACCTTGGTAATTACGTTTGTACTTCTAAATCTAATGTGTGGGCATATACAGTAACCTACTTTTTTGATTGTAGGTTTTTCTGGAAACCCTGTCATTCATATATGCATATAATTTCTTTAACCTCAGAGGGACCTGGGAATATGGAGGGACAGATGACTGGGTGTGGAAGGGATGGATGTTACCTGTTGAATCATAGGACCTTCTCTGTGTGGACCCCTGTGCTGGAAACTGGGTGATATAATGACACTCAGCGTTTAGCAGCTTCCAGTTGCTTTCAAGGCATAAGACTTAATCGAGGCACCAAAAGTTGGATTAATGGAGAGTTTAAATGTTTGTTCTGAGTAGATACTATGACATCTTTTAACACCACATCAGAATTTCATGTTTTATGTTGGAAGGAAAGCCCAGTGAGGAAAAGAGATGGAGTTACTTCACGTGGAGCAGGAGAACAGTTTCAAAGCAGGGGAACTACTGGTTCGCAGCTCACGGCATAGGTTCCCCAGAGTTTTCAGGGTGTAGTGGTCACCATCAACCATACGGTTTTTTCTTTCCTTCCTTCGCTTCTTCCACTATAGGTTTGGGATTTGGAGTGGTTATTCCGTTTAGTGTTTGAATCCTGACTCTGTTGCTTACTTAGCTGTGTGGCCTTGGGCAAATAATTTAACCTCCAAGCCGCAGCTTCCCCATCTGGAAAACCTAGAAACTTTTCAGGGTCACTGGGAGATGTAAGATACAAAGGGTCTAGCACAGTGACTGGTGTATATTGGTGTATGGAGAGGAGCGCCATAATTAATTCTGTTGCTTTTTCTCAACGCTCTCTTCTCCAGTGACTTTTCTGTGTCCTTTCCTGCTTGTTTTTTTTTTCCTTTGTAACTCCTTGTGGCATTCACTGACTTACTTTCCTAGCATTGCTCAAGACCACAGTTGTTGACCTCTGATTTAGACTACTTATTTCCTCTTTAGGCAAAGAGGAACTTCACTTTTAACATATTAAGGCATCTTTTTCTTTCGTTCTAGCACAATGCTGATTTTCATAGCCCCGTTTTATGCCTTAATGTAACAACTTCCTGTTGGTTTTTTATTAAACCTAGATTTTAACTACTACAACAAACCTAGACTTTTAATTTTAATGGGCATAAAGAGACTGAGTAACACCCGTAACTGACTTGTCTTTCATGTGATTCTGGTTTGTGATGAGCTGTGCTGTGTTTTGGGAATAGCATTAATATTTTCTTTTAGTTTAACAATCAACAGTTTCCTGGCATCTTTTGGTAGATGTCAGGCAGTAATATTTTGGTCATGGTGGCCTGATTGTCATGTGCCCGTTTAGAGAAAATTATTAATCTAGTGGTTTTCATTTCAAAATTAAAGAATTTTTTTTAAATCATCTTCCTATACAGGCTGTTAACATGGCCAATTTTGTGAACACACCATGACTAGCCTTCTGACATGTGGTAATGCTGAATAATACAGCTGTTGTATTCCTTGCCTAATATATGATCTAAGTTGTATTGCTATTGTCTTATGTTTTCCTTAACATTAAAACCTTTCTTCTGTTTGTTTGATTTTTTTTTTTTTTAGTTATGAAATATACTGTTACTAATAAAAAACTAAACAGGAAACCCATGGGGAAACAAAAGGATGTGTAGATGGTTAAGCTTGATGTCATGCATATAAACAAGAGTATTTATAGAAGAGTTGTTTTGTATTTAAAATTGATAGTTTATTAATGAATGAAAAGAAACCCAACCTCTTAATTTCATCAAAAGATTTAGAGGTTTTGATCTTCCTAAATTCTAAAAATGTCCATAATCGAACTTTTTAATAATTGATTCCAGAAGAAATTGGTTTATAGTGAACATTCAAAGTACTTAGTGGTTTTTAAATCTTGTTGTTCATTAGACTCACTTAGGAAAATTTTTTAAGTAATACTGATTGCTGAGTACAGCTTCCCCAGATTCTTCATTCAGTAGGATTGAGGCAAGGCCAAAGAATGTGTACTGATAAAAGGATCTCTAGGTGATTCTGATTTTTTTTTTTTTTTTTTTTTTTTTTTTTTTTTTTGGGT